TTTATTTTACTTTAACAATTTGTTCAACTTGCACCAGATGTAACAGGGAAAGACAGAGGAAAGTGAATATATAGGTTGAGGATCGACTCAGCTGAGCGTTTCGCGTTTTCATATATGTAGCGCAATACCCAATTTCGCACAAAAACCAAATCTACATTTAGGATGAAAAAGGTAGATTCATCATTCTTGGTAAGGTTACACCGAAGTATTCAAAATAGCTCATGCACGTTTAACGTGCCTATGTTTTTTAACCCATCGTCAATAGATGATTGTGGGGAAGGTGCTTGAGTAAACTGAGGGAGCCGTAAGCGAACGTGAAGGTAACCATGACAACCCTGTAAGCGGCACCCACCAGGCACCGAAACACTGAGAACCTCAGTGGAAATTTTTTAGATACTTACCATGTAATACCCACCCAGAGAGAAGGAAGGGCTGGGAGCAAGAAGGCTTTGACACAAGCAGAAGCAAAGACAATGCATGCAAAATGACTTGACCACCAAAGGAGCGCTGTAAAAATGCTGGGACCCTGAAAAAGCCTTGAGGCCGCCCCACATACGATTAGCAACGGAGACCGCTGGCCAGCATTGTCTTGTGTTTAACCTCACTTAAATCATTTTATGCTTTAGAGGGTCTTTTAGTCGGATGTGGAAGGGAAGGTCGGCCCAAATCAGACGCAGCAAATACAGTAAAAACCAGCGACTAAGAACTTGCATTTTCCGCGTTAGTCTAAACAGGTTATTACATAAATGTTACTTAGCATAAATTTAGGCTGTTAGGCTATTAGGACAACTTTTTTTGTTGTATTATTGTAAATAAAAGAATAAAACTGCAACAGCAGCTCACTCTTCGATCTACGTAGTTAATAATGTATGCAGGTCTTGACCGCCGTCAAACGAAAGACATGTAAAATAAAAACAACAACAACAAAGTATACTTTACTAATAGGCGCTTTGAAGACTGTTAACAGAAGGAAGTCGTTACGGCACGTTGCCATGGTAACAAAATTTCTGGAACTCAACAGACCGTGGACCTGCAAATATGGCAGAAAACAAATGAAAAAAAATGACAGTGCATAATTCGGCTCTCAAGAATAAAACGGTAGCTCTTCTGTCAAGAAAGATTGTTGAGATCTAGAAATTTTGAAACCATGGTAACCTGAGGTGGCACTTCCTTCTATTGTACAATACAATACAATACAATACTTTATTCAAAAGATAAAAAAAAAAAAAAAAAAAAAACTTAAGTTACAAAATCTTTCTCGAAAGGCGATATCTAGAGGTCAACCCTATATAAAAGATTCTCCAAAATAAAAGATGAAAAGGTAAAATCTAGAATCTAAAGCATTATATACAGAGAGAAAAAACTAAAGCCTAAAAACTAGAATAAAAAAACATCGTTTGCATATCAGTCCTATTCAGGACTACGTTCACCCGGATGATCAAACTCAACCTACTTTTGAAATGTCTCCTGGGTTCAAACCTTTCACATAATTAAAACTATTGACAATCGTCTTAATTAATATTCATGTAAATCCTTAATCTGTTGCGAAATAAATTCAGCGATCTTGCGTGTACAACATATTTAGGGAAGTTATTCCACGCATTAACGATCCGTACAATGAAAGAATATTTGTAGCAATTTATGATGGGAACTTTTACATAGAGCTGATAATCGTGATTGGCCCTAGTTCGATTACACGTAGTAAGTTCAAAAAGTCCGAAAAAGGAAGGCTATTTATTCCAAAAACTCTCTTGTAGCACTGAACTAGAGATAACTCTCTACGTTTCTCCAGAGTTTTCCTATTCAGTAAGCGGCAGCGGTCTTCTTAGATCATTTCTCCGCGCTTTTGCTTTAAGGCTAACCGTGATGCTCTTCTTTGGACTTTTTCCAAGGACTGAATATCCTTTTTCTGGTAGGGGCTCCAGACGGGGGCAGCATATTCGAGTATAGGTCTTACCAACGACTTAAAGAGGAAAGAAAACGCATGCCGAGAGTCCTTTCCGAGTGATCGCTTAATTACACCTAACACTTTGTTCGCCTTGTTTACTATGCAGGAGACGTGTTTACCCCACGATAGATCGGAGTTTATTGTGACCCCTAGGTCCTTGACAATTTCAACAGATTTACAAAGTATGGGGCCTGGATTTGATGTAAAAAATGTTTGGTGGAGAATATTAGATAATGGCTAAAATTCAGCTCCTTGTTCACGTTTCAAGGAAACGTTCTTTAGCGACGAAACAGCCTTCATAAAAGTGACGGAGAAACCAAAATCATTTTTCGCAAAAAAGAAAACAATGAGTTAGAGAAACGGCCTCTACTTGAATTGACGAGACAACAGTAACAATTTGGAGCATGAATCTCGTCATATATATCAAGATTTGTTTGCATGTGTTTACTGTAGGTCGTATCATTCCAACATGCTTCTTGGCTCAAGATCATAGACGATGCATTTGCCATTAAACAGTTTGATTGATTGATTGAATGATCGGTTGATCGGCTGATTGATTGATTGATTTGAGAGGTCCGGCACGAAGACATTTGATTCAGTTCTAACCTGAGCTCTATTGTTATTTTGTCTCTTAAATACAATACTTCAAAAAGATGTTGATATTAAGAGCTTGTAAAATTGGGGGTAATCTCAGGTTTCCTTGGCTCCTGTAGAGAAGACTTGGAAGGAAAATGAGAGTATACGTACTAATTAAACAAAACGCCTTGAAACTTAGAAAATTATTAATATTTTATATTAGTGTGGGCGAAAATCAACATGTGACCTTTAGTAGACTTCGCAGCCAAAAATTAATAAAGGCATAAAATGTATCTTGTCTATATTCGTTTGCAGCCTTCCTTTCCTTGTATAGTTAAACAAGAGATTAAAATGACGTTAAAAACAAAATTAAAAAAAAAAAACTTTGAAAAAAGTTAGCTTCAGTAGCTTTGACATCTATTCCCCCTTTGAGAAATAAATCGATGAATGATAACGACAATAATAATTTTCAGCTTTAAAAATGTCTAACAATACCAACGAATACGGTTCGCACTGTCGTTGAGAGGGTGCGGCGCTTATTTGAGGAAGGTATTTCATGGTAGTTATGGCAAAAGTTAGTCAGAGACCTCATTTTATCACTAAATATATATTTTACATTTAAATTATAAAGGGAAAACCTGGATCAAGATAAGACTTTTTACCGGTGAATTGAACTATATACGTGCCTTATGGGGTGTTTAATATTAAATTATTAAGGGAGTACCCTGATCTAATTGCCGAGTCTCTTACTTTAATATTTAATCAGTCACTGAGTGGAAGTCGGCTAGGGTTACTCCATTGTATAAAAATTCTGGTAAACGAAATGATCCCACCAATTATCGACCAATATCGGTGACCCCAGTCGTGGCCAAAGTATTTGAACGGGTAGTCTACGACCAGTTGTATCACTATCTTACTGAGAATCGTATTCTATCCCGTTATCAATCTGGTTTTCGTTCTTTACATTCTACTGTAACCGCATTACTCGAAGCTACCGATAGCTGGGCAGTGAACGTTGATCGTGGCCTTGTCAATGCCGTTGTCTTCTTAGACCTAAAAAAGGCTTTCGACACAGTTGATCATCATATCTTATTAACGAAATTACAATATTATGGATTACGCGGTTCCTGTCACGAATGGTTTACTTCGTATTTAAACAATCGTACCCATACTTGCCAAATTAATTCCTCAATGTCAAACCCAAAATTAGTTACATGTGGTGTTCCCCAGGGAACAATTCTTGGACCTTTATTGTTTTTACTGTATATTAATGACCTACCTAATTGCTTGCATTTTTCACAACCTAGAATGTATGCCGATGACACCAGCCTAACCTATGCCAGCGCAGATTTAAAACTCATAAATGACTGCGTTAACGAAGATTTAAACAAGGTGTATATATGGCTATCGGCTAACAAACTGACCCTTAACTTGACTAAAACTGAGTTCATGTTAGTTGGGTCGAGGCTGAAGCTATCAAAGCTTTCTGAAACTCTCCTTCTTTTATGATTAACGACCATCCCGTGATGCAAGTGTCAACGGAAAAATCTCTTGGAGTGCATATTGACCAAAACTTAAGCTGGGAATGCCACATACAGAGTATTTGTAAAAAGATTGCTTCTGCTTTGGGTGCAATTAAAAGAATACGACATCTTATTCCTTTTAATGTCAAGTTAATTAATGTTTACGACAGTTTAATTCAACCGCATTTTGATTACTGTAATGTCGTATGGAGCAACTGCTGCATTGGTCTTTCCGATAAGCTGCAGAGGCTCCAAAATCGTGCAGCCCGTATTCTAATGTCCGCTAATTCTGATTGTAATGTGGACGATTTATTCCTGGCACTGGGTTGACGTAAGCTTAAACAACAAAGACAAGTATCCACGGCTATTATGATGTATAAAACCGTACATGGGATGACTCCCGACTATCTAACATCTAAATTTGTATCTCGTGACGAAATAACTTCTTATCGATTGAGGAATACTGAAAATAAATTAGTCCTTCCACTGCCCCGTACCAATTATTTAAAGAAAAGTTTCTCCTATAGCGGAGCTAAGCTGTGGAACAGCCTTTCCCATGATTTAAGATCTGCAGATTGTTTACATGATTTTAAACGCAAACTGTGTCGCAACAGTTTTGAATGAGATCATACATTAATACAGTTTTACACAGCATCCTTGAAAAGCAGCTTTTATTTGTAAATAGCTAGGTAGTTAAAATTTTATGAATATATTTTTAATCAGAGTTAATTTAGTTAGGTATAATAGATCTTAGATTTTTTGTACATGCTGAAGGAATTTAACCGTGTTTAAATAAAGTTATCTATCTATCTATCTATGTTTCATCTTTTTTCCTTGTTTAGTACATACAGGGCAGTATGTCATGAATTCGTTTTAGCGACTGTTTACTTAATGTTTGAGACTAGTGGAATACTAATATCAAAGTACATGTGACCCATTATTAATTATTATTTCTAGTTTGTTTCGTAAAAAGTCTCTACTTCGTCTGGTGTGAACTTGTAAGTTCCGGCGAGGAATGTTCGGGCGAAGGTGCTGCGGTAGCTGTACCCGCTCGGTGGGCTGTAAGTATGGCCAAGGTTGCTGTAAGAATTGCTATTGGATGACGCGTAGTTGGAAATGAGAATGTCAGCTCCTCCTCCGAATATAGGTCCATACCCTGAATTACAGTGTATTGAATATCTGTTTGAACTATATTTCCCTGTCTGAGGCAGTTTAACAGGTGCCCATCCTGGTTTATTTACCAGTGAAAACAAAAATGCTTTGGAGTCGTACTGGTACCCACTGCTGGAATCTATATCAGAGAGAAATTAAAGATGATCCAAGGGTAATTAGCGCCGTCGGTTCTGATGCTCACTTTAGAAATTAAACCACCCGTCAAGCTGTGCATTGATACCAAAGACAAACCTGGAAACAAATTTTCTCATTTGAAACGAATGTGAGTCTGCTATGTTTTATTTATTTTACTTTGTAGTTGTAGGACAAGTACAAACATTTTAAAACCAAAAAATAAAAAACAACAAAAATGCCAAAAAACAAACAAACAAACAAAACTAAACAAATAACCTTTAGAGGAAATCTGTCAAGTCTTTTTAAAGGAAAGAGTTTCAATTAATTGACCTACAAAAAACTATTCATTCCAGAAAATATTTGAATTCATTATATTTTAAGGTATCATCCAGGGTAAAAAATCATCATTTTTCGAAATTTGCAGTTTTTAGATGATTTAAAATAGAGCCCGTCAAGAGCTTTATTTAAAAAAAAATTCCAGGAAAAAATGTTTTTTCTGTGCAGACTTATGAAGCGCAAAAGTTTTTTCTATGCTAATTATTTTAATTGATCGTTGACAAGTCCTGTCATACTTGACAATACAAGTCCAGACATTACGCATTCTGCTGTTGAGCTAAGCTAATCATGCAATTCGTCAGGAATGGCGAGGTCTACAGGTATAGTGCTCACTGTTTTTCCATGGATTTTGGAAGTGAATGTCTACAAAGAAGAAAAAAGAGCTTGTAAACTTATATTTAACTGCATACATTATGTTGTGGCCAGTCAATTGATTGGTAAAAAACCTAATTATAAAAACTATGGTATTAAAAAAATATCGAGCATTAAAATAACCTCCTCTGATATTAAAAAACTACAAGTCATATTTACAAAGCGATTGAGTTTTAAACCGACATTCAAAGGACACAGCATCATAACTTGTTTAAATCATATGCTTCTACCAAAGACGTGATAAATACCCAAAACCAGTGTCAGATCTCAGGGGCACCCAACGACAATTTTTGGAAAACATCTGTTCGGAAGACGGAAAACAAATTTGAGATCTAGAATTTTCGGAACATTTGTTGTTAAAATTCTTGCTTGCCTGCCTCTCCTAGAATTTTCGAACACCAAAAAAATGGTATAATTGCCCATTTTTAACGGATTCTTACCCCTAAAAAGGTCACCTAGAATTTTCAGGAGCCTTTTCTCTGACTGAAATTTTCGAAAAGGTAAGTTTTGATCCCTATAATTTTCGGATCACTAGACTTTCAGCTAGGAAATCCGAACAGATGAAAAATTTTTAGGGGATAAAAATGTGCCTATATCTACCGTTTAAATACTAAAATACGTTCAACAATGCTATGTCTAAGTGGTTTGAAGTATATTCTCGTTGGGTGCCCCTGAGATCTGGCCGTAACAGTTGAACATTATACTCTGAGATCGCGTAAACCTAAACTGTACGGAGATTTTAAAAGCAGATACCTAAGATAACAGCAACTACGGAAAATTGTTATAGTTTTCAGTAGACATATCTCAATAAACGGGCATCAAATTCAACAGAAATACGCGCACACTGAATAAATTGTCTGTTGCACGCTCGACTCACCGAAAAAATTTCCCTAGCTGAGCGTTAACTGTATCGTGCCGTATCTTAGTCCGCTATATGAAAGCTATATCATCGTTCAAATTTTAAAGTGTAAAATTCCTGAAAAAGTTCTCCTCTGACTGGAGCAATATGAAAAAGGTTTTCAGAAAAGGTTTCATGCCGTTGAAAATGTGCGGCCTGTCAGCCCTTGCAACTGAGTTTTTGCTTTGTGACCTTTTCCTGCTGTGTCATAGCCTGTGCCAGGCTCTCAGATAGTATAGTGGGAACGTATTAAAACGAGCAAAGCGAAAATAAGACGCGCACGACTTGGGAAAGGGGGCGGTGGCGACGGAAAAAAATGGGGGAGAGAGCCTGTTAGCATTTCCTTTAACGACCCTCTTCCGCCCATTTTTGTCACGTCTGGATTCGGCTGTCAAAACTGTTAACACTTCAGTTAGCTACAATCATTCTCAAGTTTCTCGCGTGAGAATTGCACGCGACGCGAACTCCTTGTGCGATGTGTGGAAATTTAAGTCTTCGAATTCGTTATCCTGTGAGAGCATCCGTTTTTTTTGGCTCTGGTTTATAGCAACAAAAGGGGGCGGTAAGTTTTTTCATCTGTTGGGTAGGTTATGCTCTGGAAGGTTCTACATTGTCACTGAGCAAATGTGACTTTAGCCGCTTGTTTCACACTTAGAGGTCATGGCACACATATCGATTTACTGTGGCGTTTGTTTCTGGTCGGCAGGATTTGCCCTCTGATGAAAGGGCATTTTCTTTGACCTCTAATTTGAAGCGTAAAGCTTTTTATTGCGACTGAATAAGGGTTTTAATTCTGTCCAAAGTGCCTTCTGGATCTGACTAACTGAGTGATTTTCTTTAGTCCGCGAATTAATGTAATATTTTTCTGCAATGTTGTGTTGCAGAATGTTAAATTATCACGGATAGTGATTTACAGATCCAGAATTATAAGAATGAAGTGCAGCTTAAACTTAAGCTACATCAACTAAGGAGAATTGCATTGTGACTTAGTAAACTCCATCTTAATAGTGTTCATCTTAAAATAGTGTGAGTCTTTTGACTGGAGCGCGGCGTAGTTTCTCCCTTGGTAATAGCGGAATAGGCTTAAAGGTCTTTGGACTGTTTTGTTATTGCCACTTTGTGGTCAACCATGACTCCGGATTACCGAAAACAATTTCGCACTTTCCTTCTCTCGCTTTCTTCTCGCCCTCCTCTCCCTCTTCACCGATGCCAAATAGCTGCGGCCGAAAATCCAAGCTTTTTCAGTTGTTCCACTTGGTCTCGCATTATAGATATCAGCGGCGAAACGACTATTATCGTAGAGTTTTCTAGGATTAGAGCAACTTAAGCCAAGCGTGGGAATAGCTGAAAGATTAAACTTTTTCCGAAACCGGTGGGCATAATACCGAAAACATCTTTACCGCGAGCCAAGTCGCAGACACTCGTCTAAAGCACAAGACAACGCGGATTCATGAAGATCACACGCGCGATTCGCGTTAGCCATCTTGGTGATGACAAACTGATGACCACACCACTAGGTGATGATGTTAACTGTCACAATTGACCCATCAGAGGGTACATCAGGAGCTGATATACCGGAACAGGCCGTTAAAAAAATGCGTACAGGCTCCGCTGCCCTGTCTCTCCCCAGCCCCCGCGCGTTTTTCGCATTTCTTATTACTGAACGACTTTCCACCACCATCTCGGACCCTGGAACAGGCTAGCTGTGTCACTATTCTTGTATCTTCTCTGGTATGCATCAACATTGACAGCTTTGGTGTTATAATCTGTTATAATCTCGTCACGGGTAATACACCGCCAAAAATCTTTTCCCCCTGTTTTCTCGAAATTAAAATCAGGGCAAGTTGAGGGTACGTTTTAAACTCCCTGTTGACAACCCGTCAACCAATTTGGCTGAAATTAGGTCAACTTACTGTCAGATAGGTTTTCTAAAAAACGGTGTCTACGAATTTTGATTTCTTTTTACGTTTTCGAGTTAGAGCATTTTTTCATACGTAGTGCTAATGATTTGCTATCCCTAACTTCAACTGCTTATAACAAAAGAACAAACGCACTTAACAAAAATCTGAGACATGGTTTTTAGTCAAACGTGTTAAGAAGCGAATGCGATCTTAATTGGCTTCTTCCGTTTATTTTTGGCTGGCCTGGACTTAAATTTACAGCGACACCCACTTTCACAAAAAGCTTCTCATTTCTGAATCGCGTTGATATTTTGATTTTTCAAAAGGAATAAGCAATAATCTGGAACTATTAAGTTTTCAGAAAATCTACGGTTTATGGGGGTATTTATTAAAAGCAAAAGCGCTAGCGCCGATCAACGCGAGAAGGGTGCTTGAGGGTGGATGATACAAATTATTATACGGACGGACTATTAAATGGTTTATACTACTACATGAGAAATTTCTTCGATCTGATTGGCTTAGAGCAGTGGTATTTCAGCTTAATTTGAAATACCTACATGTGAAAATTACAAACCTTTTGCGGGTAGTAGTATAAACAAATAATGGCATGATTTGTACGTGATATTTGGCATAAATACCACTCGTGATATTTCAAAATTGTCTCAAATTTCACTCGCCTAACGGCTCGTGAAATTACGTATAACAATTTCGAAATATCACTCGTGGTATTTATGCCAAATATCACTACAAATCATGCTATTACCTACACAAATTCACTCAGACGCAGTTTACACACTGTTTTGCCAAGAAGTTTGACGTTTTCGTTTGAACTGACTGTTGAACTTTTGAACACAGTTTTTCCCATCAAAGCACATGTAGTTGATGTAACTAGCAGTCTTCATCGCCTTTAAATTACAAACTATTGGTACAGAAATTGAATCTAAATCTAATATTCGGCTCAGCACAACTGACCTGGTTAACATGCTGCACTGTTTTTAATTATTCTTCATTTTCAGTTTAGAACCTAGAATTCCCAACTAACAGATCATGATGTTTTAATTATATGGCGGCCGGATAAGTACTTTTTAGTTTGAATCGAAAGTAACTAATGATAAGAATCGTCTTTAAATTCAGGAAATGGTGATGATGCGAGAGGATAAGTGGCGAAATGAGGCTAGAACAAGATCTAAGAAAAGTGAAAAACGCCTTTTCAACCTGTGCATCCAAAGGCTAAATCATTTTGAGGAAGCTCACTAAATAACTTTGTTTAATTTAAGCTCAAAAACAAAGCTAGAAAACCAAGCTACAGTGAAACCCGTATTAAGCGGACTCCCTCTATTAAGCGGACAGTACCCGAAGTCCCCAAATTTATTTCCCTTATTTACTTTAAATGAAACCTTTATTAAGCGGACACCTCTATTAAGCGGGCGCGGGCAACTAAAAAGTACCTGAAATGGTCATTTCTATTGTTGCCAACCTGTATTAAACGGACACTTGTAATTAAATTCCACCACCCAGCATGCCAGACACCGGAAATCCGAAAGATTGCCTCGAATTGCCACCCACAAATTTTTCGATTTTTACATTTAAAAACTTGACTTGACGAACTTATTTAATTAGCTTCACCGTACTGTATTGTTTTCTATTTTGTTTTGTTTGTAGCTTGTTTCACTCATCTGATTTCTTCAAATTTGAGTTGCAATCTATGTTTATGGTACTATGATCAATTGGTTCACTTTGATAAAGAAATTAATGCAAACGTCTATCGTCATAGTCTCTGGGAGTATTATAAACGCTTCCACTGTTCATGCATCTGAATGGCATTTGACACCTCATATGACGTTATCTATCGAAAACTGTATTAGGCGGACACCCTGTATTAAGCGGACACAGGAGCCCATCAAATGGAGCCGCCATCTCATATACAAGCCCTTGGAGTCAACCCTTTCCCGAGTAGATTTATAATTAGAACGGTTCCTAGGGGAGACTTCGCGCGCCGACGGTGGGAAGAGCCAATCACAACGACGAAATGACACTGCTATTGTAGTTCATCAAACAGCAGGAAATTCGGTGTTGACAGGCCAAACACAATCATAAACTAGTGAAACGTGACTTTAGCGTTTTCATCCCTCAGAGATCTTTTTTTTCTTTCTAGCGGGTAGATTATACTGTGGACAGTTTTAAACTCTGGCTATGTTAATCTTAATTTTGGTTGCTTGTCTCACATTAAGAGGCCATGAAGCTGGTCTGTTACATGCATAATGATTAACTACTACCTGCAGTCTGTAGTTCTGACAGGATTCGTTTTCTTTAGCCAATTTTTTTGTGCGTTAAGGCTCTTATTTCGGCTAAATGACTCAATATTAATCAAATTTCTAGTTTTTCAAGGTTTTTTTTCCGAAATGCTTTTATCTGAATAAATACTTGTAGTCCCTGTAGTTGTTTTGTCCGCCAGCTAGTGTGATGATTTGCTGGTATGTTTTGTAACGCCGGGCCCAGCCATTGTTTTCTCGCAAAAAAGTGATCTACAGATGCGAATTCGAAGGAAGGAATTGGGCCTAAACTTCTACATTAACTGCTGAGAATTGTCCTGTTAGTCAGTCATAATTCTTTTGGCGCAGATACAATCCATTATGTTTTTCTTGAGATAAGTGGGTCTTTGGACTGAAGCGCGATGTCACAAATTCCTCCGTTAGCAAATTACTTTTGAGTTAGCTTCACGGTCGAGCAACTGTTGTCTTCTGTTCAACTTTTCAAGTGCCAGTTTTATCAGGCAACTCTCACGGTGATACAAGTCAGTTGTACAGGAAGACTGCAATTTCTCAAATTTCGGAACTGAAGCATTCCTCGTTAGTTGCTACTTAGGTCATCGATTTTGCACTCGGTGCTTAACTGGTGAAATCCACTCCACGGTGATGACAAAAATCAAATGATCCTGGCACTTTTTCAAAAAAAAAAAAAAAAAACACTCGCAAAGATAACCTTTTCGCTGCCTTTGTCCCATCGCTTCATGCTCAATCTCAGTCGAGTAATTCATTAACTTTTATTTCAGGATACCCAGATCCCAGCGGCTGTAAAATTGTAAAAATGGACGTAAAGGAAAAATGGAAAACGGTCGCAGGACGGGCTTCTGAGTTCGACTTTATCGAATTTTATTTTTTCACGGTTCGGTGACACACGAGACTCACAGAAAAATAACACTTATCGCGGGAAACTAGCCGTTCTATTTATAAGTCTACTCGGGAAAGGGTTGACTCAAGAAATTAATGGAGATGGAGGCTCCATTTGATGGGCTCCTGGCGGACACCACAGCATTCCCCGAGGGTGTCCTCTTAATACAGGTTTCACTGTACAATTATCTCCGTTTACAATGTCTACTTACCCCAAGACAAACTGGTATATCCGCCAAAAATATATTTTCCAACCCTTATTATTGTTACAGTCGGTCCCTTGCCATCACAGCGCGAATGAAATGTACTATCAGCCCAACCGTCCACAGATGCATGCCAACAGCGCTTCCAGAGAGAATTTATGCCTTTAGCCACAGGTGCTAGCCAGTTGCCTAATAAGGTCAAGTGTTTTTTTTTGTTTCCCACAATAACGGAGTCTTCGAAACCTGTTACCAAGGAAATATGGCCAAGTTAGAACTAGTCAAATTTGGCACCAGGTCATTCTGTAAAGCCTTGTCGGATTTCAGCTTATTAGCAAAGCAAACTTAAACACAAGCGCAAATAAAACGAATAAGAGTCGCGTGAAAACGAAAACCAATCAAAGCTAGCATATGCACGACACATAAATCGCTGTATTTATTTGCCATTAGTTTTTAAAGTTTCAATCTGTATTGACCAACTTGTATTTTGAGAAAAACAGTAGATTCGTTGCAGTGTAACTTTTCTCTTTACACAATGAAAGAAAAATGAATTAATTTTGCACAAATTTGCTTTAAGCAAATGTGTCGCAAGAAAATGAAAGAAACAAAAAAACAAACAAACAAACAAACAAACAAACAAAAAACTGAGGAGTAAATCAGGGGCAAACGTACTAATTTACGCCCAGTGTTTTAGGTATGCAAATGTGGCATTTACCAGTTTTGCTCCAGATTTACTCTTCAGTATTTACATTTTTGCATCATATTTGCTGAGAGCAAATTTGTGATGTGGCGGTGTAAATAATGCATGTACAGACCTGAGTGCCGTTGCACCGCCACGTTGGTTCTGGTTTTCTTTGTTCCCATCATGTTCGTCGCAATGCACTCGTACAAACCGCTGTCAGCAGGAGTCAAGTTCTTAATGGTTAGTGTCCCTTGGTTTACCTCAACCCTTCCAGCTGGCAAAGGTATTACCACTCTATCCCAGTTTACTGTGGGGAGAGGAAAACCTTCTGCCTGACAAGTTACTTGAAAAGTAGTGCGTTGCACTGGTGCGGCCAGTGGTGGTGGAACTTTAGTGAATACTGGGAGGCCTGAAAAAAGAAAAAAAAAACGTCAAATTTCATGATAAAAATCCTGACTTTAGACTAAGATGTCATCATATTAACTCATCACTGCAGGGGAAAAGACTGCAGCTGTACTAAAACAAACGGGTAATATAAGGATCGTTTTATTTTTGGGGGGAAACTTGTAATCTAATTTTCCATCATCATGGCCCATTATTGTTGTACAACTAACTTTTTACGCTTTAAAGTTTCCAAGGAACGTTGTACAAAAAGCATGTTGCTACTTGATTAGCCAACAATATAAAATGAGTACCAAGTTAGAGAGTGGTTTAATGGAATCTCTGAGGGTTTTGTTGAACAAACCAGGGAGCAAGGAAGTCACGAATGCAGGAACTTTTCAAGGTTTCTTTCTACAGTATAATGCGAAGGAGGGGGGGGGATGGTTAGATATTAGAATGCAGAGTAAAGAGAAGACAAGCTAAATAACGGGTTCAAGTTCCAATCCCGCCTAGCACCTACAATCAGCCAAATCAAACGACAAGATGTAAAATTAAGCTCAAAGTTAAATACTCGATCCTTTTACCTCGAACAGACAAGTTTCCAGTGGCTTCAGACGATCCAAGAATGTTTCTGGCGGCACATATGTACTGCCCAGCATCGCTGTAATTCAGATTTTTAACAATAAGCACTCCTTCTTTTATCAAATATTTTGGACCTAATCGAATCTTTCTGCCCTTGAATCGCCATTCGACCGCGGGGCTAGGATTTCCTCCTACCGTGCAATTAAAGGTCGTTTTCCCTCCTTCATCCCTTGTCTGTTCTGCTGGTGACAACATTACTTGCGGTGCAGATATCGATTTTCCAGGCCTTCCAGGTGGTCCCGACATGCCTTTTGGCCCAGGCTCTCCCTTGTTTCCCTTTTCTCCTCTCGGTCCGGCAGGGCCCGTTATTCCTGTTTTTCCGGATTTTCCAGGTGGTCCCATGGGACCTTGAAGCCCTTTCTTTCCCTTTGGTCCTCTCCTACCACGTGGTCCTTTTGCCCCAGTGGTACCAGGGAGTCCGGGGGGTCCTTCAGGACAGACCTTTTCACTTGACTTACATTACTTGAGTGGCATAAGTTGTTCAAACTGTCTCACGATTTCTCTTGTCACGTCATGTATTGTGAAGCTAACTGAAGTGTCGTTTAAAACGTGTCTTCGGTGTCTTGGTCTGATGGTTGCAAATTCCATTTTTGACAACGGTACGGCTGTTGTAAAAATGATATCGAAAATCAGGACGACTGTTTTATTAATAAACAAGTGAATGTATCATTATGTTGTTCGCATTACCGTCGTGATACCAAGCTTTCTGTTTCAGTATTTTCATAAGCTCACTTACCACACGCTAGCAAAGTGAGAGTGGTAATAACCAATCCTTTTCTTTACTTCTTTTTTGTTCTTTTACTTTTCTTTCTTTTTTTTGTGTGTTCTCGTCTCGATTGTTTGAACTGTTTATCTGTTCAAAAAGACTAACATCCTTAGACCCGAGTGACTAATCAACCAGGAAGGGTGCGCGGACGTCTACAAGTATGGCGTACGATCCCGGCCAAAATTCATTGTTTGAATTTTAAATTCATCACTTAAATTTCTACTTGAATTTTATAGCCGAATTAAAATTTTACGCTCTTCCTTCAGATTTCGCATCATTAGAAAACGTTTTTACACTCGTCTTTTATTTTGTAAACTCAACTCTTTGCTCCTTGCTCGCCGTATATTTTCAACTCGCTTCATCAAATTACACTTGCTGAGTCATATTTCAAACTTGACCTTGAAAATTTTCAACACGACTTCTGAATTTTCGTTCACGCTTCAGTGATCGTTGATCAAGACCATCTGTCGGGGGGTGGGGGTGGGTCGTGGGTGGCTCTTTAATGGTTTATCATGCTTTGCGCCTTTTGTACAAACATACAAATGATCAGATAAATCTACTCTCTCGCGGATTAAAATTTGTCCCTACGCCGATAACAAACGAAACCGCGTTAAGAAAATAACTCCTTACAGACTAAAAGATTTTGCTAGGAGAATATTGCTCCAGTTTATATATCACAGCAAGGACAAAAACATCCACCCCTTCTACGTTAAGTCAAACTAAACCACCAGCAGTCTGTCACCCAAGAGAGCTATCTAAAAGAAATTAAACTACAACTTGCGCACACACCGATAACCAAAACTATACCCAACCTACCGCTAAATGAGAGAAAAGCTATCACAGAGCTAAAAAATAACTCTGAAATAAACATCAAGAAAGCGGATAAAGGTACTACCACAGTCATAATGAACAAACTAGATAAAACACAAGAGGGGCAGACCCTACTAGACGATGGAAACAACTACACACCCCTCGAAGACCCCATGGCAGGGGCAACTTCCCAAAAAGTAAAACAAATAGTCGAAGAACTACATCAGGGAAGTTTTATTGACGAAATGACTGTGAAATGGTTATCACAGACACCTAACCCACCCAGAATACCTGTCTTCTACACTCTCACAAAGATTCATAAGCAAACTCCTGATGGCCGACCTATAGTGGCAGGAAACGACGGACCCAGCGAACGGATATCATCATTCGTCGATAGCCTACTTCGATTCAGCCTATAGCTAAGTCACAAAAGTCCTATCTTAAGGACACAACTGACTTTGTTAACTTCATAGAAAGGAGAAACCTCCCAGAGGACGCTTTCCTAGTGTCCTTAGACGTTGCTAGTCTGTACACAGCATGCAAAGCATACCAGACTTTTTACGGGGAAAACACCCCTATCCCCACCCAATCCCTCAGACGAATCCTTAAACTTATTCTTCAAGAGAACTAAATTGAATTCAACGGCAAGAACTATCTCCAAAAACATGGAACCGCGATGGGTACAAAGATGGCAGTCGCCTTTGCCAAAATCTTTATGTCGGTGGTAGAGACAGAAATACTGAACCTCAGCAAAACTGAACCTCTTGAGTGGAAAAGATACATTGACGATATTTTCTCATTGTGGAGAACTGAGAGAAAGGAGATAGATGAATTCATTGCTCTTGCAAACAGCATCACCCTTCAATTAAAGTCAGGGGCACCCAAAATAAAGAGATTAACTTTCTGGACACAACTGTTTACAAAGGCGAGAGATTTCACAACCAAGGAATCCTTGACATCCGCACACATTTTAAACCTACAGAGACTTTTCAATACACGCATTTCTCTTCCTGTAACCCTCGATCACGGGGTCAGAAAAGTTCTCATAAAGGGCGAAGCCCTTAGCCTTCTGAGAACTAAGTCATCAGCTAAATCCTTCTATGAGAACATCTAAAACTTCAAAAACGCCTTCGCACTAGAGGTTACCCTCACAATCTCATAGAAAAAATCGCCTCTGAGGTTAAATTTACCAAACGGAAGTCAGCTTTACAAAAGAACAATGAAGAGTGAAAGAAAATTCTGCCTTTCGTTACCACGTACCACTCTGCTTTGCCGAACCTTAAAAACATTTTAATGGGTAAATGGCACTTAATTCAAGATTAACTACTACTGAGAGAAATATACAACGAGCTTCCCATCAATTCATATAAAAGAGCAAAATCGCTGGGAGATATCCTCGTTAGAGCAAAACTATAAGGTCACGTATCACACTATCATGAGCTTATGAGTCGTGTTTGACCTGACAACACCTTCCACCTATCTCTGCGCCCGATAAACATTTAATGGCGGATCCTATGCCAGCCACGATAGAATCGGGTAAATCTCCACAATTTATAATAATACGATTTAGATACTCCAATCGAAGCAAAATTCCGCTATAATTACCGTCCTGATAGGAATCTAAACGCTCCAAAGTTTCTTGTACAACAGCAAGTGCGAACGCTGCCGCCATGTTTGTACAAAAGGCCCAAAGCATGATGGACTAAAGAGCCACTCACGACCCACCCCCCGACAGATGCTCTTGATCAACGATCACTGAAGCGTGCTTGAAATATGACTCGGCAAGGTAATTTGATGAAGCGAGTTGAAAATATACGGCGAGCAAGGTCAAATAAAAGAGTTGAGTTTAAAACATAAAAGACGAGTGTAAAAACGTTTTCTAATGATGCGAAATCTGAAGGAAGAGTGTGAAACTTTATATTCGGCTATAAAATTCAAGTAGAAATTTAAATGATGAATTTAAAATTCAAACAATGAATTTTGCCGGGGATCGTACGCCATATACAAGAGGCTATCGATCTTTTTCCTTCTTCTCTTTTTTCCAAACGAAATTTCCTCGTAAATTTTAGTGCTTTATTATTAGAAACTTTCTTCCTGTGAACGTCGTTTTTGACTTGAAACTTGTCCCTGTGTGGTCTGTCCTAAATTAACTCGTAAAGTGGTATCACACATTCTTTTAATCCAATTTAAGACGAAAGAGGAATTTTAATGTCCCTCTGGCTAAGACGAAGAGACTTAAGAACACATTTATATATAGCAACTGTAATTAAATTTTTAGCTACATGTGTACATTTTTCTTATATTTTTCTCATATTTTTATTAGATTTTATTATTGTAACGATTAATCTAATTCAGCTTTTGGCTGCAATTTTAATCAGAATAAACTATCTATCTATCTATCTATCTATCTATCTATCTATCTATCTATCTATCTATCTATCTATCTATCTATCTGTCTATCTATCTATCTACCTAAATGACCTTTTTTTCTACATCAGTCTAAATTCCTGTCTCGCAATATAACCTAAAAAGCTTCTGTTATAAGTTTGCCTAATCTCCTGTTCGATCTAAGCTGCATGGTAAAATTTGAAAGAGAAGGGAAAGGTTCAAATTAAAGCGGAAATAAAGCAAAGGGGTGGGCGGGCGAGGAAAAAAATTCAGCGTTCACCACAAGTTCAAACAAGAGTTCTAAGAAAAATAAATGCAACATGGACAGTACTGTTTTGGCAAATATCAGTGGCCTTATGATATAAAAGAACCCTAAAAACAGCGCAATAATAAATTCAATTTAGCTAAAATTATCAGAATAACATTTGTTTAATGCTTGCGCGCTTTATTCAATGCCATTTGCATTTTGCATTAGCATTTTCAAACGAGGTCGTACAAGGGCGTTAGTGTATGTTTACGTAAAACCGCTTTGTGATGACAAATTAAACGGCTGTACGGTCTAAACGGCATCCACAAGACAAGATTATTCATGCAACATTTTACCTGAGTTATGGGCGATCCCTGCTGAAAAAAGTGTCCGCACCTTCTTGTAGAGATCTTTTAGCGTAACTTTTGTCGACGAACGAGTCATCCTCTCAAACGAGACCCTCTTAACGCAGGGTAAGTAATCAATACGAGATTGCAGAGCGATCAGTCGCTTATTTGTTGTTTCATTCTTCATCCAGAGACACCCGCAAACGAAAACTAACAACACAGAAAGGAATGATGGCCTTATTGACGGAGCAAAATCAAGGAGACGGTGAGATTTTGGGGAGTTTGAAGATTTCATTCCTGCAGCTTCACAATCCTTTTCTTTCACAGGGCTCCACTCAAAGACTGACGTTTGTAGGAAAGTTGCCAATAAAACTTGATTCCTTTATCGAATATTGTGGCTGTTGACCCACCTCTCTCTTATCCTTCGTGTAGCACGGTCTGGGGGTTTCAGCATACACTCTTTTTTCTTTATAAGAATGTTGTTTTTCTGGCCTAGGCTGCTGAATATTCTTATTTTTCTGCCGATTTTAGGATGAAAATATTCTTGTATTATTCTTAAATTATAGCTTATGACATTTACGTGTTAGAATTTATTGGGGTATAAATTACAAGTGTTTGGTATCTAGATCTGTATCGCGTTATATTGTGCACGTGCTCCATCGCTTTTCGTTGCAGTCAGCGAGGTCAAGATGTCACGTCAAACGACACTTGGCCGTTTTGGCTTAAAAAAAAAAAAAAAACATTTCGCACA